AAAAACAGTATATTACTATTTTTTGAAAGAACAAATTCCATGAAAGACCTTGAAACCGACCTTGGAACTGCCAAGGCCAAAACCAACCTTGAAACCAATCTTGACAAGGTAGGTTTTAGCTCCAAAAGCCTGGAACCAACCTCCATAGGGTAGATTCCAGGTTTTTCCTTGAAATCTAACGAATAGGGATAGGCAAACCACAAAGCACAACCTACCTCGTTAATGCATCAAGATCAATGTTGATGGATCCTCTCCTTCTCTCTAAACACCCCATACCTCAATGTGTGGGGCAAAACTTAATCATTCCACTTCCATTAGTAACTGTTTTCGGGGATAATGAGGCTAATTTCATGTTTTCTTCTTATATTGTTTTTATTTTATTGAGCGTAGTCTGTAAAATGAACAATGTTTCATACAAGGGAGAAACCTCAACCTCTCACTGTGTCATATCTGAGGTTAGATGAAGTCATAAAGTGGGGCACATGCCAATTCAGCGGGAGAGGTCACAGTTCATCTCTTCCTTTTTTTTCCCTTTTTTTTTCGTTTGGATGGGGCTACAAACAAGGAGTAGCCCTCTCCGGAAATCCTCAGAGGCTCAGAGCCCTAACCTTGGTGAAGGTGGGATGGGATCCTGGGTCTCCACTACAATCAGTTAGAGACTTTTACCAGCAGGATAGTTGGCATTTCCTGATTCTTTGGCAACTTGTGGGCTTCCAGCCTGGCTCTCATTTCTCCTGCTGTGATGGTAGACAAACCTATCATATACCTATCTCTCCCTTGTGGTTTCTAGTGCGATGCAGCCATAGGTGCACCTATCCTCTTTGAGTTTTTGAAGCAACAAAGTTTCAATTTCGTTGGCTTTGGTGGGGTCCAACTCACCAAAATAATTAGTTTATTTTTATTTTTTAATATGCCCAGTCTCTCCTGTGCCTCCGCATAGTCCCCAAGGCTTTGCAATGCTTTATTGATAATCTCTAGTGGTCTATATAGCTTATTCATTTCTATTTTTCCATATAGGTACCACATGACAAAGCAGGCTTTTTCCTAAGGGTTCAACTATGATAATGGAAAGACGCATACCGGAAAAACTAATAGCTAATCAACCAATATCATAAAAGAATAAAAGAGGTGACCGACCAATCAGGTGGTATTCATCATAATTCATGAGGTGCTTTGACTGGTCAAAGCTCTTCCGATACCATAAATTTACCCTTTTCCAAATAGTAATTTGTCCAGCTTTCTTTTGCTATAATAGAGAGTTGTCAACCAATCCAAGATCCATGGATTGCTGTCCATGTTGGGAATTGGTATATGCTTATAAATCTCAGAAATACATCAATGACACTAATCCAATTCTAGAGGATAAGAAAGGTGTATTTTTAGTAATTTATACAAAGTGTGAACCATGGAGATGCATCATACAAGTAGAAACCATGTTAAATGGTAGAAAAATTAAAATATGCATATGCATATATTAGAAAATCTTTATAAATGTCATTGATACTTAAAAATTATAAGTTTTGATAACTAATTAGTTGTTTTTTAATAATTTTTGGCTGATAGGTACTGTATAAGAAGAGAAAATTGTTCAAAGGTCAAAATTTAAAACTTACGTGTGATTTATGAGAAAACTTTGGCCTTTCAAGTTCGACAGCCAGGGCTGTCAACAGGACTCTCCATGCAATACATCCAGCACTTATGCTGCAACAAGTATGTTGTAGTGATGGATTTTTTTTTCTCTCTTTTTTTGATTAATAATATAGGAGTCCATTACGAGAAGTTAATGAAAGTGTTAATTAGGGTGAATTAATTAGAGTAAGCCATTTGAATTTGAATGTCTTGGATGTAGGAGTTAATGGGAGGTGATTAATACCTTAATATGAGGAATATATCGGATATGCCCATTATTTTTATCTGTAGATATTGGCTGATGATACTATGTAATATCGGTAGGATGGCACCAGATTGAAAACAAAATCAGGCTATTCCACTCATGCCTTTTGCTACTAAGACCAAAAACAGATATTTATTGACCCAATATGTATCAATACTCTAAGCCTTGATTTGATGATTATCTCAAGTGATTGAAGTTAAGGCCTCTTGTCTCCTTCCCTTTTCTCAATCCATCCTTGATCTCAGATCATCATGTATAAAAAGACACGTAAGTTCCTGAAACCTCTCCCCTGAAGTTATTGATCATTGTTGAAATCTCCTTTGAACTTTGTTAATTGCAATTATCTTTCATTAACTTTTTAATACAGTTGCAAGTAGACCTCTTATGTTAGAATCCTCTAACAAGAGGCATGAAAATGTCCAAAATACCTATACAATTGCTTTTGACCAAACTGTTTATTTTTCAATTTTTTCTTTGTATAAATTGCTATTTCAAACCCTTCCAATCTCTTTTCTGAAATTGATTTATTTTTCAAGTTTGTCCCTTCATATGAATTGCTTAAAGGGAAATTTGCAACTTTAAACTTCTTTTTTGTTATTGTTCGTAAAGTTTGTATTGTTTTTTATGTAAAACACAACCTCAATAGTAATTGTATAGATATTTTGGACATTTTCGTGCCCCTTGTTAGATGATTCTAAAAAAGAGGATCTACATGCAAGGTGCAACTGTTTCTGAACAGGAGAGGTGATTGCAAATTTGCCCTTCCATTGGTTTTTCAACTGGAATTGTTTTGAGTTGAAACATCGCTTACACAAGTATTTGGGGAATCAACACCACAGCAGTGCTACATCGATGAAGGCATTAAAACTCCAACTTCCAGAGCAGGAAACTTTCAATTTGATATTTCTTCAAACACGCCCCCGGGATGGATTTCACTGAAAAGCGTTTTATAAATGTTTTGATCTAGAACATTCTCCAACCAAATAGAAAATTGACTGCCGAATTCTTAAAACCTATGTGACACCAATGTAGCACCATTTTTTTCCCCTCAAATGACCGTGCTACCAAAGACTCCCCTTAGTCTCCGACAGTACAATTTGGTCGATTGACATTTATTTTAAGACTGTAATACTGTTTTTCACATTGTTGCTATATTTTATCATATATAACCTTGAGATTAAATTAACAAAGTGGTATTTGGTAAGAAGAATCAATTCAATGGTTCCGTTTCTCACCTTGCTACATTATCTAATAATTCAGGAACCCACCATTGAACAATCAAACTTTTAAAGCTGATTCCTCGCTCAAAAATCAGTAAGGGATCAATGTCTCTTTAATTTCGTGTCTAGGGATAATTCCCAAAATTGATGGAGATAGATTTTCGGAATAGGTAGTGGATGATTTTTGAAGTAATACCTGGAATGGTATTGACATGTCCATCCTAATAACGTACAAATTACATCGACGCGTTTTTCATAAAAAAAAAAAGAATCACCATATCCGCATTATTTGGTTATTTCTAGACAATTTTTTTAAGAGACTGATGATTCCCCAAATACCTCAAAATTGGTGATTCCTGAGGCAATCATGAGTAAACCATTCATCCTACTAAACACCATCTAATTAAGGGGTGTTTCACAACATCAATGTTTTTGTTTTCATTTGTTTTTAAAACATGTTCATGGACTGTGTTTTTGTTTTGAAAAGCAAAAGCTAGTCAGTTTGTTACAAAAAAACAATTCACGTTTTAAAAACACTCTTTTTTTTTGTGATTTTTAGAACAAAAAACAAAATTTTTAGTACCGATAATTAATTTGAGTTATGGAAACACCCCGTAAATCAAGATTAGCCAGTGGTGAGACTCAAATAGAATAGACTAAACAGTTCAAACAGTGTCCTAATTCCCCTAAATCTATGATGCCCAAAAAATAATTGTTACCTGTCTATCTAGTAGCTGTTTCTTTAGCACTCTTACTAAATGTGCCGAATGTTAGAGAAGCCAATCCTCTCCAACTCTGTTAATTAAGTTACTTTACCAAAAAAAATAAAAATTCTGTTTAGTCTGCTTAGGATACAAATTAAAAATCAAAATCAGGATCTATGTGGAATGAAGTAACCCAATGGAAACAAAGTAAATAAGGAAGCTAAAGCAGGATGCATACAGACCAGAAAGGTTTACATGAAGAATTTATGAATGCAAAGGGCAGTTCTGTTTCTTAACATTTATAAAAATGGGACCAACTCTGAATCTTATTGTATGAAATAAAAGGAAAAAATCATTTCTTGTTAAAACTAGATTCTAAAATCATTAAGAGAAAAAGAAAAGACTGATTACATTACAACCTCACCAAGCAGCAATCAAGCTCTGCCCAATTTAATCTCAGCTATTTCAGATGCCATATTTTAAATGCTGCACATCATGATGTAAAACAGCTTTCTGTACCATGGGATTAGTCTTAATTAATCTCTATTTCATTTAGTATTACTGTACCTCATGATTTATTTTTATTTATTTTCTTTTAAATATTAATTGTTTGCTTGATTTAAGGGCTTAAAAAGGCTCGATCTTGGAAAATACCTGAATAGAGAAGAAGCCTGAGCCTCTCCTCCTGTTCTGTCATGACATCAGTCTCATATTAGAGCTCAAGCACTAGTTCATAAACCTGAGTCAAGCTGCAAAGCTGGATTTTGTGCAACCCTAACACCTACCTTTATCTTGAAGTGTAGAAGAGCAAGGACCAAAGTATCAGTATCAAAGAGTATTAAAAGGATATTTTAAAATACTTGTTGGAATAAACTTAGGAAACACATAGAGATACAGAGAAAGTGTTAGGATATGCATGAATATCCAAAGGAAACTCATATATATAAATGTCACAAATGCATAGGTTCAGACGACTATAAATAATAAGTATATAAGAAATACATATAGTTGATATGAAGAGTGAACCGTGATATATTTGGGAAACCTTGAAAACTGATGAATGAAACCAATATAAATCTCATCAATACTTTGTGATAAATAAAAATCTTATCAATACTTAAAAAGATACATTATCTTTTTTGTCTTTATTTGTATTAATTACTATGAAGATTTAACAATAAGAATTTAATACGACAATTTTTGTCTTTATTCCATAAAATCGTTCCAAATAAACAAACAGTGATTAAGAATCTGTCACACTGTGGATGGAAATAGAAGCACATATGGCTTTTTTCATCCTTGAAAACCAGCTTTATCAAATTTCAATCATGCTTTGTGCTCAAGACGGTGATGGTTGTAGGCTGATGATCCTTCTCCAAGCTCAAGAGCAGGAGGAGGACTCTTCATGGTTTTAACATGAGAAGCTTCTCCGACCGTCTCGTTCTTCTTGATTTCTTCTTGTATATGCACATCATCCTCAATGGATAGTAGCACAGTTTGTGTACCATGTGGCCCCGGTACTATGGCCTCCTGAATCTTGAGATGTTCATCAACGTTTATGATCTCAGTTTCCTGAACCTTCTTCTTTTTCTTCTTGAGGAAGCAGCAGAGAGCGGCCGAGAGAAATGCAAGGAAGAAGAGACCACCGAGAGAGACAAACACGACAATTATAACCGTGGAATGGTGTCCTGATGGTGGTGGCGGCGGAACAACATGAGGAGGAGGTGGTGCTAAGGGATGAGGTGGCGGTGGTCTTATTGGTGATGGAGGCGGAACTGAGTGAGGAGGTGGCAGTGGCTTTACTGGAGATGGAGGTGGCAGTGGCTTTACTGGAGAAGGAGGAGGTGGTAGTGGCTTTACTGGAGATGGAGGTGGCAGTGGCTTTACTGGAGATGGAGGAGGTGGTAGTGGCTTTACTGGAGATGGAGGAGGTGGTTTTGCTGCCGGAGATGGAGGTGGCAGTGGTTTTACTGGAGATGGAGGTGGCAGTGGCTTTACTGGAGAAGGAGGAGGTGGTAGTGGCTTTACTGGAGATGGAGGAGGTGGTTTTGCTGCCGGAGATGGAGGTGGGTTGAAAGGACGGCGTGGTGGAGGTGGCGTGGCAGAAGGAGAGGATGGTGGTGATGGTGCCAAATGTGGCGGAGGGGATGGAAAAGAGAAGGGTGGCGGGAAAAAGAAAGGGAAACCGAAATTATTTGGAGTTAGAGCCATGCCTGTGAGTGGAAATGGTGAATGTGATAGGAAGAAATTGTTCTTAGAAGAGAGGAGATGAAGAAGATGGTAAGATGTCATCTCTATTTGTACTAAGAGAGTGAGTGAGAGGGAGAGGGAGAGGGAGAGGTGCTTGAATTCCCAATTTTCACGTATACATGTAACTTGATTGACATGCTAAGCTTTCCATGGGTTGTCATTGATTGCATTAAAATACACTTCTGGATCCACAGATAGCAATCCCCACACAGTCATAATTAAAATTAAAATAATAATAATAATAATAATAATAATAATAATAATAATAATAATTAGTCAATTCACATTTCCTCGTCCAGACCTAGGGCTAGCTGCAAGCAATTAATATATTGTTCAAATTAGAATTTAATCGAATTAAGAGTAATCCAAACTCTATTAGTTCATAGTTGGATATGATCCGACATGGATTCACCCTTGTGAATATTCCAATATGTTCTGATGATTCGATTCCATTCGGTTGGTGTATTAGTAAAACTAGTTTGGATGTCCTATTTTTATTAAATTCATACATCTTATTTTCCATTCATTTTGTTTATTATCTCTTATTTTTATTGTTACTTATCTGATTTTATTATCTCTTATTTTTATCTTATTAGTTTTTTATATATCTTTTTTTACTCAACTTTAATATTTAAATGTTAACTTAAACATTAATATTCTAATATGCTTTCTGAAAATTTAAATTCATGCATTTGGAAGGTGGAGAGAGAGAGATTCCTCATAAAGCATTTTATGAAAAATTCATGTCATTGGGAATGTGAAGAAACTGGATTTGCTCCTCCAAAAGAACTCCTTACCAACCTTACAGCACATCACAGCTTAGAAACATCTTTCATGAATGACAACATAAAAAAATTCGGATTCCGATGTGAAATGGTTTAAGAGAAGTTTCACGAGAGAGAGATAAGAGGAAGTTTGTTTTATTTTTTATTTGTCTTGAAAATGTAAGAGGAAGTTATAGGTAATTGAAAATATGAGAAAGTTTAGGAGAAGACGTTTTAGGTAATTAGAAGTGAGATTGATAATTATATTACAAAATGCAAAAAAAAAAAATAATAATAATAATAAAATAGAAAAAAAAAACACTTAGAAGGAATTGAGAGGGGATGCTGATATGGACAACTAATAGATATCTTGTTTTGTTTTAGTTTTATTTGATTGCAATCCAAATTTAATTTGAATATGATATATATTTGATAGATAAGATTCAATTTCAATCCTAATATTAACAAATAAAATTTGGATATAGGTAAATCCAATTGATCTAATCCATCTGCAGACCAATCCAGAACAGACTTGTATCCCTCCTAAGGATTGGAACTTTCCCCAAGTTAAAACATAAGCTAAGGGCTTACGGATTGGAATGATATAATATAGCTTTGGAGAATATATTTTAGAGATGAGCTCAGCACAACATATGTTGATTGTTCAAGAAGAAAAGAAATAATGATTGATTTCTTGATAAGGAAATAAATCTCAGAAGTTTTTTCCAGTAGGCCATGTTCTCTTATATTGGCCATGTGAATAATAAATATACTCAATCTGTTACCTGTTCTTTTCACTCATAACCTCAGCAATACAACAATAGTTGTTTATTTAGCTACAGTTGTTTACCACAAATTAGCTACAGTTGTTTGAAATTTTATAACAAGTCATGATTTGACAAATCAGATTTTGACTTGAGCAGTGTAATCCAATGGAATCAAATTTTAGGCCTCAAATTAACCCGGGGGTGGGGATGGCGAGAGTACTCTGCCTCCCCGATCAGGCAGGGATGGGAATGGAGAGCGAACTCCACACTCCGCCCTAACCCCGAATATATATATTTATTTATTTATACTAGTAATTAATTACATGTATTATATGTAGAAAATTTTTCTTCATATTAATTATTTAAATTTTAGATATATCATAGTTAAGATGGAAATTGAAAATTAACAAAAGTAACAATATGATTAAAAATAAACTTAAATGCTTATAGCAAATAACAATTATTATTATTATTATTATTATTATTATTATATTTTAATTCTTGGTATTTTATCATTTTTGAAATATTTATTATTCAATTATGATATCATGGGTTTCTTTGAAAAGTTAGATCTTTGACCCACCATCTAAATAAGAAAATAACTTTGCTTTTGAATTAGTTTTAAATTAAGGAAAAATACAATCGGAGTCAATTGTACATTTAAATTAGGCTACAAGTTGGTTCATAAACCAACAAAACTCTGACAACCGGCTCAACATTTCAAATTATAAAAATCCCTTCCATGTCATTGGAGGCTTATGTGGTTGTTGTCAACATGGGACTTTTAGTCCATATTGGACACAACAAAAATCTTATACCAAAATTGCCCTTTAATGTTGGGTGATTGGAAAAATAATAGAAAAAGGTTTTTACTCTCTCTCTCTCTCTCTCACTGAATTTCCCTCTCACTCTCTCACTATAGTCATCTTTATCTGCTTAACAACTATGTGATTTGAAAATAAATAAAAATGTTTTTGGTTTCTGTATTTATGTTTTTTATATCAATTTCTCTCATTCTCTCTCTACCTATCGTTCTCCTCAATTTCTCTCATTCTCTTTCTCAATCAATCTCTCTTTCTTCCTTAGTTTCTATCATTCTCCCTCAGTTTCTCTCCCGCTTCCTCTCTTATTCTTTTTTTTTGAACTTTTGGTATACACTTATATGGTATTAATCGGATTGTATAAAAAAACACGAGACCAACTTCGTATGGTTCAAAAATCATAACACCAACTTGATAAAAATTCACAAGAAACTTTTGGTTATGAAATTTACACTAATTGAAGAATGATAGAGATTAAGGGAGAAGGATATATTGATCAAGAGAGAGAGTGAGGGAGAAGAAAATGAGAGATTTAGGGAGAACGATAGAGAGAGAAAGAGAGAGAGGTTTTGATTTGGCTACAGACCAAAGTTGAAAGAGTTGGAAAGACAAAGGGAGCTGGAGATCGAAAGATGAGTATGAGAGTGAGAGAGAAGGGAGGGAGATCAAGAGATAGATAGAGTGGGAGAGAAACTGGACATATTTTCGGTATAAGCTTTTTGTTGTGTCCAACATGGACTAAGAGTCCCATGTTGGCAACACCACATAAGCCTCCAATGACATGGTGGGGGTTTTTTATAATTTGAAATGTATAATTGGTTGTTACAGTTCTATTGGTTTCTGAACCAACCTGCAACCTACTTTTAAATGTACAACTGACTTTGACTATAATTTTCCCTTTAAATTATATATTTCATTTACATTATATAAAATATTTTTTACTTATTGCACTTAATTTTTGTTTGTTTGTGGTATCATTTGACTCAGTACACTAACCTACCATATAAAAAGAAAAATAGTTTGATTCCTACGTTGACATTAAATTTTGTATTACATTTCTATCATTGACAAAATTATTTCTTATGTATAAAACTTAGTTATTGAACTTCTTCAATATAATGAATGCATAATATTAGAAATTTACCCAATACTTTATTTTTTTATAAATATACAACATTAGACATGTGCTGAAAATTTCTTTATCTTTTTTTTTTTAGTTTTTGTGATTCTTTGTATTTTCTATTATTAAAAATTTTATTATTTGACTATGACATCATTTCATTTCTAGGTAGATTTTAAATTTATCATTCCATTTTCATTATCAATAAAAATACTCCTTACAATTCATAGTTATTTAATTTAAATTTTTATTATTTAATTATGGCATTATTTATTAATCCATTTAACCCCAAGTGGTCGAATTGCTTTCCCACCACTGGGAGGGAAGAAAATGGTTTTGTTTTCAAAATATTCATTTTTATACTACTAAAATTAATATTGTGAATTTAATTACAAGAATGACTTAAATATACGATTCAATGAACATGAATGCAAGTTAATAACTTAAATGTTGGATTTGATGAGAAAGAATTGAATGCATTGAATGTCTTAAAATTACCTCTTTTAAACTCATTTAATATCAAGAACCAATTGCCTTATTTGTCCTTATTTTTTATCAATAAATTTAAATATAGAGGGGTAAATTTTGTCCTTAGAAAATTCCATAAATATTCTTGAGGCCATTGGTAGGGGTGGTCACGGTTTGGTTAACCGAATCGTGGGGTAATTTTTTGGACCGAACCGATATGTCCGGTTTTTATATTTAATTGGACTGATGCAACCGGTTGATCGGTTAACCCCGGTTTGGTTTTTCGGTGTTTTTATGCCCTTAAAATAAAAAAAAGGAAAAACACAAGCGAAGAGAACTGGGATCGCCACTTCGCCAGTGTCGTCGAGATGCAGTAGAGCCTCTAACCTGTAGCCAAGCCTCCAGTGTCGCCCAAGCAGGAGGGATCACCAGTGTCAAAGTCCGTCGGTGAATCGGTCAGAGGGCAGAGCGCCGAAGGCTAGAACCCAAAACTGGGAGAGTGGGAGTCTGAAAAAGTGAGAGTTTGAGAGAGAGAGAGAGAGAGAGAGGTGAGGGAGAGAGCTCAGAGAGAGAGTCCGAGAGGCGAGAGAGAGAGAGTCCGAGAGGAAAGAGAGAGAGAGCTCAAAGAGAGGCTGAGAGGCGAGAGAGAGAGAGAGAGAGCTCAAAGAGAGACTGAGAGAGAGAGAGAGGGAGTATGAAGGAGTGAGAGTTCGAGAGAGAGAGAGGGAAAGAAATGGATCCCTGCATGGTGGGTGTCAAACGACTCAGACTGTCAGATATGTTGTTTGCCAGTTAGCCAGATTGGCAAACCTAAAAGTCTCAAACTCTTAGTTCGACAGTCTGAACACTCTTAGATTGTCGAACGTTTTTATTAGATTTAAAAAAGTATATAATATTCTATAAATGGTTAACCAAAACCGAACCAAAATTGTCATTTTTTTGAAAACATTGAACCGAAACCAAACCGATCGATTCGATTAACCGATTTTTTGGTTTGGTTTTGGTCGGTTCGGTTTTTCAGTTTTTTTTGCTCACCCCTAGCTATTGGTGCTTTTTAAAGTA